AAATTTTTTCATTTTTTCGAATATTTCTGTTTAATAAATTTACGCCAAAATATTTTATTTTGTTTTTTCACTTGAATTGTTTACTGGAAATTTTTTATTTTCTCATACGCTTACGTTCAATAAATTACGTCATTTTTTTATTTTATTATACAATTTAATGATGAAATTTTATGCATTTTCTTGCACGTATAGAAATTTTTTGTAGAATATATGATGAAAGAAATAGGCAAATAATAAAGTTCAAATCATTTTCAAATGTAAATGGATCTGATTTTCTCTCGTGATATTTCACCTGTCTCGAGAAAATGCAGGGAAATATAAAGAGAAAAAAGAGAGAAGTTTTAATTTTCTATCGATGAGACGTATATTTCATGTTTTATCGATTTTAAAATTGCCATAGCATTCATATGCTATCAAAATTGGTTCATAATGGTATAAATAGTTAGTTTCAAGCGTTATTTAAAATATTTCCAACTTTATTTTATTTTCTTCTGACTTATTTTGCCTTAACATATTACTAATTTTAATGGAAAAATATTTTTAATTGTAATATATTGTCGAGAATTTTTTCCTTCTCATTCTTTGAAATTATTTAAAATTTGGCTAAATTTGAATAGTTTGTTGAAAGTGATGATATCTTTATTTTATAAATTTTACATCATCCTATTGTCTTATCTATTAGTAGTTTGTGTTTTTGTTTGTTTGTTTGTTGTTGTTATCGTTATTGTTGTTATTGCTGTTGTTGTTGTTGTTGCTATTGTTATTGTTATTGTTATTGTTATTGCTATTATCGTTATTGTTGTTGTTATCGTTATTGTCATTTAGATTCAAGAAATAGTGAAAATAGTATGTTACAGGTTATTTATAAATATCGGCTGAACAAGGGCTTCTTATATTTTCGATGTTTCATACGAAAGTAAGAACTCGATGTTTTGAATACATTTAATATATTAGTTAAATTTTTATAAATTTCATAAACTATTCCAGATATTATTAGCTTTTCTTCTCATAAACTAATTATATTTCTTTTCCTTTCTTTTTTTTCTAGTTTTTAAAAATTTGGATTGCAGAGAATAAAAAGAGAAATTCTATATTCATCAGTTATTCAGTTAATAATACTTATATAATTATCCTTTTATTCTTAACTTTAATTGTAAATTTATTCAATTACCATAAAAATTAAGCTAATAGCAAAAGTAAACTTGTTCAAATATGACGTAGAAATAGGCATCCTTATTAATTAATAAATACACACTTTAATTTTAATGAATAATTGTTCATTAGAATCAAATTTTTTGCTTTCCTTTATCAATTATTAGAGATTAGAATGATCAATATTGAAAAAAAAAATTCTTTTTTAAAAATTTTTAATACTTTTAAATTTGCTAATTTAAATGGAGAAAAATAAGCATTTTTAGTTTCCCGTAAATTAATATAACACGTGAAATGCAGTATTATGTGCCATATGTTTGAGAGATTTTTTTTTTGCAGAAAAAGTGAAATAAAAAATAAATAGGGATATTTTTCTAAAGATATTCAAAGATAAAATTTTTTTCCCTCATATTTTCTTCCAAAAACTTAAATGTTCAAGAAAATTTCTGACAGTTTCAATGATTGATCACTTTTTTAAAGGAATATTTGAGAGTTTTAAAGAGGGATTTTCATTTGTTTTTATCTTTTTTTACTTTCTGAAATAAATCAGTTTATTGGTTTTTTTTTTTCTTTTATTTGTTGGATAAATTGAGCGCAGTTCTTTTCTTCTTATTGATTTTTCCAACCAAAAATTTGCAAATTTAAAATACATTGTGTCATTACAAAATTCGGTTATTAGGTTATTGTGTTTCCTATTTTTTTCTTTTTTTTTTTGCTTTTCAATTATTTTGTTCATTACGAAACATAGCATTAATATTTTGCGCTTCTTTTTTATTTTTTTTTTTTTTTGTTTAATCAAAAATGCAATTTATTAACATATCTTTTTTTTGAGGTCAGTGGAAATTTGATTGTGACTTTTGACCTCAGCATATATGTATATTTTTTTGCATCTAACATATTCAGCATATTTATTATAACTATAAATTTTACTCAACGATATACAAATAAAATTGTAACGTATATTTTCGAATGAATGATAGCATTTATGTAAAAAGCAATTATTGTTTTAAAATTTGCTATTTGAATTGTCAAAAAAGTTATCGTCCCATTTTATTTCCAATTGATTTTTAAATATTTCGCGCACAATGCTACCATTCTTCTAAACAAAACTTCCAAACGTTCAATAAAATTTCTGTGAACAAATTTTTCTTTTCGAAACAAAAAAATTGAAATTTTTTTAAAAATATTTATTTTTAGGAGCATTCGCCAAATTCGATGAGATTAAACAACAGTTCCAGTTCAGCATCGGTTGCGTCACGTCTCTATACAAACGGTACACGTGGATTACAACGTGGAAGCTTTGGCAGTGAACCGGAACTGATGAGTTTTAGTGATAATGAAACATCCATTCATGAGCTGAACGAAATTTGTAGTCAGGTTTGTTCTGGTTTTTTTAGTCTTAATTCGAGAAAAAAATTCGGCAAATATCACAATAAAATTTTTATGATAATTTCTTAGTAATTTACTAAATGTTGTTAAAGTAATCTAATATACTTGTAATGGCCAGGCTGTTTGGTAAATAATTACGGTAGTTAAAGTATTACAAGTTTTTATACATTAGTGAAATAAACTTTACAAGTGATCCAAAAAACTATCTGTATTTGAGAAAATGAAGGAATATTTGTATTAGAAACTTTGAACAAATTAAAAAAATGTCAAAGACATTAAGAAAACAGAAAATGAAATGATTCCATATCACTAATAATCTTATCTGTAATTAATTAATGATATGGAAATTTATTCGAGTTCAATTGCATCTTTTAATTCGTCCCCGCGCTACAAGAAGAGCAAATATCGTGCAGTTTGCATGTTGAGGCGCAAAATGCATTCATTCTGCAGGTGTATGAAAAAATTATGACTTTTCTCCCTATTTCAACAATATTTTTTATTCCTTTTATTGCTTTATACAGCATTATTGCAAATCATGATTATAATTATTATTATTATCATCACTGTCGTTATGATTATTGTTATTAATCATTATTATTATTGAATTTATTATCACGATACAAATACGATTATCAAATCAATGTCATCCCAAAACTTTGTCATTATAATCAGTGTTTTATCAAAGTTCATTCATACTGTCATTGTAAAGTTTATCCTTATCGTGATCGGTATCATTCTAAAATTGATCCTTATCATAATCAATGTCATTTCAGTGTTTATCCTTATCATAATTACAATGATTTCGACGTTCTTCCTCATCATAATCGGTGTCACTCTCAGCCTATCGTTATCGTAATCACAGTCATTTTAAAGTTCATTCTTCTGTTTAATTTTTTAATCATTTAAAATGACAGAAATACTATAGCCAAAACATCAACCATACATAAATATATCCAAAATTTTCCAATTATTTCACATTTCGATTTAATAATATGAAGATTTCGTAACCGGTCAGATTGATTTGTTGATGAGTCATTGTTGTCTTTTTATTTTTTCATTTTTATTTTCTTAGATTTTGAGATGGAGAAAGAGAAGCGAACTCTCGAAGATGCATATTTTGTTGTTTATTGCGCCGATTTAAATTTGTTTCTTTTTTTTTTAAATTAGAACAATTATTATGTAAGGTTTTGCAGACTTAGCCAGTAGAAATTTCATCTTTTTCATCACATAAATGGAAGTAAAATAACAAACTGAATGGAAATGTTACTTTTCCTTGTTTATCTAAAATTATTATTTAATGCTAATTAAAACTATAGAAAAGAATCGTGAAAATATATGTATATACATGTATAATGACATGCACACACACACACACACACACACACACACA